TGCACAACACCATGAATATACTAAAAACCACTGAATTGTTCGCTTTAAATGGGTGGATAGCTCAATAACTTAAAAATAGTAACGTTGTTGGTTGGTTAGTTGTAACAAATGTACCACTGACAGATGTTAATAGGGGAAACAGTGAACTCTCTGTATTACTCTTGTAAATTTTTTGTAAATATACAAAACTACTGTAAAATATAAAAAGCTTATTTAAAAATTTATACAGCCCAGTGTGGCTCAGTGGTTGAGCATTGACACCTATGAACCAGGTCAGTTCGATTCACAGTCAGGGTACAGGTCGTGGTTGCAGGGTCAGCTCCCAGCAAGGGGCGTGCGGGAGGCAGCCAATCAATGATTCTCTCATCATTGATTTCTCTCTCCCTTCCCCTCTAAAATCAATAAAAACATTTTTTTAAAAAATTTAGACACATATACAAGTTTGTTTTTAAAGCAAGTGAGTTAAGTGCTGTTAAGGGCTTGAAAGAGACATGGCCACAGAAGACTTACGGATATTCATGAGGGGGAGAGGCATTCAGTTGGATGGGGTGTGGGTTGGTTTCCTATTGGGGCTTTAACAAATTACCACAAACTCAATGGCTTAAAACAACACATTTTATTCTCTTAGAGGTCTAGCGGTCAGAAATCTAAAATTATTTTCACTGGGCTAACTCCTGTCAATAGAGCTGCATTTCTTTGTGTTTTCCTGCCTTTTCCAGCTTCTACAGGCCACTGCGTTCCTGACACAGGGCCCTTCCACCTTCAAAGTCAGCAGCAGTGTTAACAGCTTCTCCTCCCTCACTTTGACCCTCCTGCCGCCCTTTCCCTTCATAGGACCCTTGATTACACTGGGCCCATCTCAATTATCCATGATAATCTCGTCTCAAAGTCAACCATTTCTGCAAAGTCCCTTTTGCTACGTAAGGTCACATATGCACAGGTTCTGAGACTGAGGATGTGGACATCTTTGGGGGCAATTATCCTGCCCACACAGGGGGGCATCAGGGAGGTGAACAAAGGAACAGGCAGTGAGGGGAAGGGAGGTCAGCTGAGTAGGTGGAGCCTAAGGTGCCTGTGGGACATCCAGGGGAGTTGTCCATCGGCTTCCTTCCATCTAGTCACCAAACACCAAGCACCGCCCATGAGTTAGTCACCGGGACATAAAGGTGAGCGCTGTACTTCACTGGTCCTAAGAGACCTCTCTTCACATCTGAACATTTCTGAAATCACAATGCACTTTCTAATCGATGACATCTTACAACTGCAATGGGTAGGGTCTCCTTTTTTAATGACACGAAGTAAACCATTTTACAGCCAAAGGCACCTTGGAGTCAATGAAAACGAGGTCTGGCTTAGCACTAGAGTGGGTGTGATGATTACAGAAATTGCAGGCCTCACTAGAACATCAGGTACCCCCTGGTTCTGGCCTGGCCCCTTCCACCCCCCAGGTGTCCCATGGCTCTGGTGCTCAGCTCTCCAGGAACTAACGAACTCCACCAGAGCCCTGGCCACACACATGCTCAGCTAGTCCCACAGGAGGTCCAGGGACCGATCCCGCCCCAGGTGTCACCTGTCTTGGGAGTCAGGCCGTTCACCTGGCCGCACACTGAAAAGACCCAGCCTCCAGGCCATTACCTAGATGAGTGGTTCTCAACCTTGGCTGCACATTAGAATCACCTGGGAATCTTTTTAAACTCTGATTTCTGGGCCTCATCAGGTGATTCTAATGTGCAGCCAAGGTTGAGAACCAGACCTAGATCAACTCACTCAATTCTCTGAGAAGTAATTTTATAGCTCCCCGTGAGATCCCAATGGCCAGCCAAGGTGAAAAGGGGAGGAATCAACCTAACTTGGTGCAAGTGAGGAGACTAAGGCAGCACTAAAGGGATGAGGGGGGCGGGGATGTTCCGGTCTCACTATAGAATTATACCTGAGACATGGTATAATTCCACCCCGCTCCCTCACCCCCTAGCTCTGAATTCCTGGGAGGGGACCAGCTCAGTTATCTTAGTCCCCTCAGGGCACTAGCCCTGTGCCAGGCACACTGTGGGAGCCCAGAAAATATAAGCTTCAGGGTCTCAAATGCCAGGCAGAAAAGATCTGGTACCAAGAAAGGTCTGGGAAAGGAGCCCCTTGGGTCTGTGCCAAGCCTGATTTGCTGTGTAACCTCCAGTGAGCACCGCCCCTCTCAGCGCTTGTTCAATGGACAGCTGAAGGGTCCTTCAAGTGCCAACACTGAGTCTGCGCTTCACCTAAGGAGCTTGAGACCGTGGGAGCCGGTGAACACCAGGCTTCCTGCTCACACCCAACAGATGTCCGAGCCCTTCACGGCCTGAAACCTCCACTTCCGGGGCTCTATCCTATTCTAGCTGCAAGGACGGAGACTCAGGTCCTAACAGCCAACGACCTAAGAACAGCGAAACAGGGACTCCCACACCGGAGAACGACGTGGGAGTGAAGAGGTTTTCAGATGGTGAGCAGAGTCCAGGTGGGGAGGCCACAGGACACCTGACAGCCCTGGCTCTGCCCCTAGGAGTGGTAAACAAAAACCAGAAACTCTCAAAGAGAAACTTCATGAGGAAATACTCAAGGACAGAGGCAAATCCAAAGGGGCTGTGGAGGTCCCTGGCTTCTGGCCATCAGGACAGTCAAGGGCCTAATACACAACTATAGACTTTTATTGGGAAAGGAAATCGACTGAAAAGTGGCCCCCAATATCCTCACTGCCTGAGGCAACTGGGGCCTCCTCCAGAGAGTCCAGGAAAGAAAGAGCCACTAAACTGGCCCTCAGAAGGCTCAGGTGTAGAGGTCAAAGTCAATACGTTTTGAGTTGTAGAACTGTCCACCAGGGGGGTCCAGCTTCCGGCAATAAACACCGTCAGGGAAGTAGCCTTCATTCACCCACGTCTGCAGGAAGAGAGGGCAGAACTGGAGGAGGACTGTGAGGGCTGGGAGGGAGAGACGAGGCAGATGGGGCTCACCTGCATCTGGCTGCTGGAGAAGGGCCCGTAGAGCTCAGCATCGCCTGTATTCTCCCACTTATATTCCCACATCACATCCAGCAGGCCGTCTCCTGGGGACTCTGGTTCTGAAACAGCAAAGCCATCTGGGCTTCAAGGGTCCTGCCCCTGCCCACACCCCACCTCTGCCCTGAAATCTCACCTCCTCTCTGGACAGGGGTTGGGGTCTCCAGCTCCCCTTCTGCTACTTCATCAGCAAACATGTCCAGAGAAGGCTGGGGCGTGGGGTCAGGGGGTCCCTGGGTCCGGCACCCCAACCCCTTCAACTGCATGGCCAAGCGTTCTCTTGTCTCCTGATAAACACCAAGGTTGCCTCGAGCCACCATCTGGTCGGCCAAACTGCACAGCCGGTCCAAGCGCTGGGGGGAACTGGGCCGCCCAGGCCCCTTGCTACCCCCTTTGCCTCCTCCTCTGGCCCCCAGACGCCTCAGTGCCCCAGCCACTGTCTCTCTTGGCAGCAGGAGCTCCAGAAGGCCCTCCAGGAGGGCTTGGGGACTCATTGGTGTCTGGCCCAGGCTGTCCTCCTCCTCGGAGTCTGACGGTGAGCGCTGACCAGGTGGCCTCTCCCTGATCTTCACCTGTAACGTGAAAATGGGGGCGGGGGGGAGGTTTATTTCCTACAAACTGCCAGCAGGGCCCAAGCACTTGCTGCCTCCAGGCCCCAGCCATGCCAGCCCCAGAGCCACACCCAGTCAATGTTGTCCAGCCAGCTGTCTCGGATCTGAGCATCCCGGTTCAGGAAGTAGTTGCCATCAGCATCAAAGTGGCCTTCCTCCATCTCTTCCTGAAGGTTGAAGGGTGTGATGCGCACACCTCCCTCACTGGGGAGTGTGGCTGCTTCCTGACCTGCACCAAAGACACAGGTGTCCATGCTGGCAGGCAAGAGACAGGAGCCTCCTTCGTCCACATTCCCAGGAGCCCCTAGCAGAGTCAGTTCTTGGGTATAACTCACCTTCCACATCCTCTGAGGCCAGGATGTCGTATTTGCTGGACCCCTCGTCATCATCATCCTCCTCATCGCTGTCCAAAGAGTGTTTGCCTTTGAAGCGGCTCCCAGGACCTCCTGCCCCAGCCACAGGGTCCACTAGCTGTGAGCAGGAGTCAGACAGTCCACAGATGCAGGTTACTGGTTATTGAAGGGAACCAAAGTTTTGCCAACCTGAAGCTGCCTTTTTGGAATATTAATTTTAAGCTATTAAGAAACAAGACTCAGAAAGAACCTTTGGCCCTCCCCGCTTTCCTGCCCAATAGATTCAAACAAAAGAAACCTACTATAGCAGTGGTTCTCAACCTTGGCTGCACATTAGAATCACCTGGGAATCTTTTTAAAATCCTGATTTCTGGGCCTCATCCTCCGGAAATTCTGTTTCTTTGTTGGCGGGGGGGGGGGGGGGGGGGGGGGGGCCACAACATTGGTAACAAAGAAACAGATCCCCAGTGTGGGGTGTGCAGGAGGCAGCTGATCGATGATTCTCTCATATCATTGATGTTTCTATCTCCCTCTACCTCTCCCTTCTGCTCTGAAATCAATTTTTAAAAAATTGTTTTAAAATGTCATATATACCTAATGTTGCCTCACTGAGTTTGGAATTGTCATACTTATGTGAATTTCCCATGTGCATGCATTAAATTTGATTTTCGCCTGTAATTTGATTTTTGGCCCAGCTACAAGAACTTAGAAGGTGGGAGGAAAGTATTAATTTTTTTTCTTCGCACCCGCACTCTTCCTCAAAATGCTCCAGGATCTGGACTCAACCTGAGAATCCCCCAAACGCCCTTCGCAGAGAACATGAAAACCTTGCCCTTTCTACCCGTTCTTTCTCCCCAAAGCTTCTCCCGTCTCTGGCTCCAGTTCCCGTTTCCTCCCCTCACTCCTCCCCAGAACACGGAGGCCGGCCCCTCACCTTCTTCTTGGGAGCACCGACCTCCTCCTCATCCTCCTCGTCTCCCACGCCCTGGAAGGTCACTTTCCGCTTCGGCATGGCTGCACAGAGGGTCTTCCCCAAACAGCAGAGGGAGAGGTGCAGATTAGGGGACCGGCGAGAGGACACTCGCCGCGAGAGGGCCCTCAGCGCAGCACTGCCAGGTGCGCACAGGGCCAGGCCGTGGGGGAAGCAGCACAGAATCGGGGCCGGAAGGGGAGTTGGCGGCCCAGAGGCCCCGGGACCCGGGATGGCATCCAAGAGAGCTGCTGGGGGCGGGTCCGAGAGGCGGGCACGCGGAGGGGCTCCCACCCGCACCCCCACCCGAGACGCGCGGGGACCGGCTTCCTCCCGTGACCACCCCATTCCCGGCTCCTGCAGTCCAGTCGCGACGCGGGTCCGCGGGCTGACACCCGCTCCTCCACCCCAGCTCCCTCGGGCCCGTGAGGTCCGGGCGGACCCGGGACCTAGCGCCCTGGTCCCCCGGCTCCTCCCTCCGCCGAACCCCCAACTCCGCCGCGGGCTGGCCCCCACCTGCTGTGTGCACAGCTCAGAGCAGCGGCAGAGCCGCGGGACTCACGCAGCGCCCGGCGCGCTCACCTAAGGACCCTGGGCCGCCCGGCAAGGGAAGGGGAGCTGCTCGCGCCGGGGCTACATCCGGGGCACAGGCCTTCACCCGGAAGGGAACTGTGGAGAGCGCCCGGAAGGCCGGAAGTGGCCTCGCTCCAGGGAGGACCAACCGACGCCGCGGGCGGGAGTTCGGGCGGAGCGGGGAAGTCACACCCCCTCTCAGAAGTGACGCAAGCTGTTCTGGGCAATACGACGAGAAGACGGGACCTGTGAGCTGCTGGACCCCCATCGAGCGAGCGGGATGGGCCCACGCAGTGTCCATTCCCTCCCACAGCAGTAGCGGCTCTGGGGACGGGGGCGCCAGGTCACGGTGCGGGGCAAATCCGAGCAGGGCCGATGGGGTCCTGCCCTCGTTACTCTTTCTAGGGTTGCGTCACCTTTCCTCAGGGCTGGCCAACCCTGCGCCCCTCACCATCCCACTGGAAATCCTTCCCCAGCTCGGCGGCCAGTCATCGGCCCTCTCCTCTCCCTGGGGTGAGCCCGGCTCTCCCGCTGGCCCGCCTTGAGGCCCCGGACCGGACTGGGGTGGGCACTCTCCGGACCCAGCTCCCTTTAGGACGCAGGGGAAGTAATTTACCCACCCCTCTCCCGGGGCTGATTCTAGGCTTCCGAAGTGGAAAGGGCCCCGCTACCGGAGAGGTGGCCGTGGCACCGGCTCGCAGCACCGAGGCCAGAGCCCCCTGTGCCCTGATCTCAGGTAGGCCCGGGGAAGGGCACCAGAGCCCCTCTCCAACCACAGCCGCAGAATGAAGACCCTCTTAGCAAACAGGCCCCGGCCCAGGGCCCCTTCCCGGGTTCTGTAACCTGGCCCGAGGCAGGGCTGGGTGGGGAGGTGTCTCCGTGCTGCGGGGACACTCAGAGCCTGAGTGCCACCAAGCTGAGGCTGTGCCCAGGAAGAGCCTACTGGGACCATAGGAGGCAGCATGGGGGCCCCCAGGGGAACAAGATGGACCACCCCTCCTCCTGCCCGTCTCCTCCAGATCGTACTACCATGAAACTGCACCCAAAGTCTGTGCTCAGTTTCTCCCACAGGTACAGGTTCCAGACCTGGAGGGCATCATGCTAATGAAGGACCAAAATACCAGCTACCAGGGTCCCTGGTTCATCTTCCGGGGAAGCCGCCTCTTCTACCAGGAGCACCAGGCAGACATACCCCTGGGCCTCATCCTGTTGGAGAACTGCCAGGTGGAGCCATGCCTCGGGCCACAGAACCCTATGCCTTTACCGTCCTGACCCCTGGGGTAGAGGGCACAGAAGTTGGGCAGGCCTACAGGCTGGAAGCAGAAAACCAGGAGCGGGGAGCCTGGCTGTGGGTTCAGGCTGGGGTGAGCTGGAGGCAGCTGGCTGTGCTACGACCCCCACCCGCTAGAGGCTCAGTACCAAAGCTGTGCCAAGCAGCTGGCCAAGAGCCCAGCTCACCCCCACATCCCCCATCCCCCCCAGGACTGTGGCCTTCTAGCCACCCTCAGTCCCCACTCCAGGTTCCAGGAGTTGCATGAGCGCTTTGGGAAGGAGATCCGGGCACTGCAGCTGATAGGTAGAGGGCTTCCGGAGGCCAGTGACAATGGAGACAGCCGATCCCAGGCAAAGATGGGGCAGGAGCTCAACCATTGTTTGTTGATGAATGGCTGAGAGATGGACCAAAGGCCAAGGGGTACCCACCTGCCAAGACCAGCCAACTGCTTCAATAGATCCTGGCTCACTCATCACTTGCTCCCTCCCTCTCTAGTCCTTATTCTAACCCCCTTCATCAAATAACAAGGCAGGAGACATGCCCAGGTATAATAGCAGGTTCTTTTCTGGTTCCTCAAAGCGCCACATGGGGTGAGGGCAGATACAGAAGAGAATGTAAACATTGGGTTCCACCCCCTGGAGCTCAAGAAAAGACCCCTTTTCCAAATAGGGGCTGGAGGGTTAGAAGGAAATAAGGTGAAAGGTGAGGGTCCTGGTGAGGCAAAGCAGGGGAGGCATGAGAATACAGAGAAAGGTGGGTGAATAGGAAGGAGAGCAGGACGGTGGTGGGTGAGGAAGTGGGGGACATTTCCTGTTCCAGTGCATGTCCCCTTAAATAGAGTGCAAGAACATTGTGGAAGGAGAACCAAAGGACAGAAGATTGAGCGAACACCCCCACCCCTGGGCCAACCAGGTCCTTTATACATAATTACAACACAGAGATGTCCAGAAGTCAAGGAGGCCCTCGGCCAGGAAGTGGGGGAGGCAGGCAGGACTGGAGAGAAAAAGGAACCTAGCTCCACTTCATGGGTAAGGGGAGCAACTGGAGTGTAAGAATCTGAAAACTGACTCCCCCCATTGCCAAGAGTCACCCCTTTGGTGACAAAAGGCCAATCAGGACAGCACCTGGAAAGGGACCCCAAAGGGAACTGGGGCAAGAGTGAGAGAGACCCCAGCGCGACCTAACTGGAGGTGAGGGGCTCCAGACTTGTTCAACAGCCACCTCGGAGAATGCAGCTGCCCCATGCACTGACTGTCCTGGCTGTAGGGATCAGCAGCTGGCAAGGAGACGGGGAATCAAGCCACTTTCCTCAGGAAGAGGGACAGCTTACTGAGGGGTCTGCTCTTGGCTGAGGGAAAAGGAGGGGGCCATGCAGTCCAGGCCCAGAGCAGAGGTCAGAAGTAAGCGTCCTGCCGGGTTTCAGAGGCCGAGGACCTGTCCCCACCATCCTGGGGGGCTGGAGGCCCATCTGCCTTTCGACGCAGCGACAGCTTCCTGCCTTGGGCCTTCTTCTCCTGCTTCTGCCGTTCCTTCTCCTGCTTCTGCTGTTCCTTCTCCAGCTCTTTTTCCCACTTCTGCCGCTCCTTCTCCCGCTTCTCCCGCTCTTTCTCTTGTTTCTGTCGCTCTTTCTCCCGTTCCTTTTCTTGTTTCTCACGTTCCTTTTCCTGTTTCTGCCTTTCCTTCTCCTGCCTCCGGTCCTCCTGCCTCCGGGTCTCCTTGCTGGGACCCAGTGGGGTGCTGTTACCAGTGGGCGAAGGAAGGGATGGATGCAGTCCCTCAGCGGTGACCACAGGCCCTGGGGTAGGCCCAGCACTGGCCCTGTGGGGAGGGGGTGGAGATGGGGCTCCTCCAGCTGCCAGGGAGCCCCGGCTCTTGAGGCCATGGAGGCTGAGGAGGCTAGAGGAGGGGCCCAGGGGTGGCTGCTGCCTCCGGCGTTCCTCATGGATGGCCCGGGAGCCATGTAGTCGCCGTGAGGGCCGATACTGTAGTTCCCCCCGGGTTTCCCGCCACTTCTTGAGCTGGGCTGTGTTTTCTCGCTCAATCAGTGCTTCTGTCACTGGGAGGTTAGTCACCTAGATGGAGAAGAAATGGGTTCCAAAATGCAGATGAGGTGGGGATGGCCTGAAGCAGATCTGGGCTTTGCCAAAGCCTCTCATGCCTACCTCATGCACCAGGAAGTCCTCCTGCATGCACTGTTGGGGCAGGTTGCGCAGCTGCTCCATGGTTTCATACATGCCCTGGCAGGAGCGCAGCTTCTCCACTGAGCCCAGTGTGTGCCGCAGCAACACCAGGGCCACGCGGAAAATGATCTTTACGCCTGCAGAGTAGAGAAAAGACAGCACGGGTGATCATGCCTGGGACCTCTGCATGTCCCATGTAGGAGGGACTCACAGCTCCCATCCCTATCTACTGTAACGTGGGGCGCGGGTACGGTGTTTTGGCCAGGTTTAAGCCTCATTGCCACGTGCAAGTCCCAGCTGGAGGGCAGGGCCCTCCCAGCACAATCATAGCCAACGGCTGTGGCTGTAAGCTTGAACCTGTGGTCCAAACACATAGCCCCACGTGCCTTGTGGTAGAGTTCGGGTGCATGTAGTTGAGTGAGGTTGAAACTCACGAGAATGCTGTAAACAACGTGATCACGCCCCTACTTTGCCTCGTGGCATCTGCTATAAAATAAAGACAGGGCTTGTGGGCGCTGGCGCGGTCTCCTCATCAGAGAGCAGCGTCCCACCGAGACCCAGCTTTCATTCTCTTGACTGTCTTTCTTTAATCCTTTCACCCCCCGCCTCAGGATCACCCTTGGCTGTGCTGGCGCGGCCCACTGTAAACCTTACACATGAGGAAACTGAGGCCCAAGATGGGAAATGAACTGCCATGGGTTCCAGGTTCCTGGGAAGGAGAGTAGGCTCTGGGGTTAGTGGCAGAGCCAAGACCAGGCCTCAGGTTCCAACCCCCAGACCCAACAAGCACCTTCTATCAGCAGACCACCGCCTGGCAGGCACCGTGAAAACCCCCACAAATGTACCTTCACAGAAGAACATATCCCAGACACGCAGCACTGACGCCCAGGGCAGAGTACGAGCAAAGATGCACATGAACCATTCTGTCATGTAGAGCACGGGGTCAATGCGCTGCCGCCGCAGGTGTCTGTGTGCCAGTGGGGAGGCACGGCGCAAGAGTGCAAAAAAGATTTCTCCGTCCAGCTGAATGGCCTCCTAAAGGTGAGATGAGCCATGAGAAGGGGCCTGCTGTGGCCCCCTTGAGCAGGGGATCCTCACCTCAGTGGGCAAGGCCCAGAGCAGAGGGGACAGAAGGGCAGAGGGTGGGGCAGGACAAGGACCTCCCTGCAGCCTTGGGGAAAAGTCAGCCTGTTGTACCAAGCCTTCAGGTACTCACCAGCCCTGCACTGTAGTAACCCGGGAGGTACTTGTCGCAGATCTGTACCAGGCACCAAAAGGCTTGCTGAGAAGGGCAAAAACAAGGAGGGAGGGGGCCTGAGAAATGGAGCAGAGAGCTCCCCCATCACCACTGTAGGCCAAGATCCTCCCCACCCCCTCCCCAACCAGGACCACAGTATGCTGACCTCAGCAGGCATGTGCATGAGCAGCACTGCAGCCACTGGGGCCTGTGCCTGGCAGTAGCCCTCGTCGGGCCGGTAGATAGTGTAGGCCTTAAGGATTCGATACAGGTCCTGTTGCCTGTGGGTATCGGGAAAAACCATGAGGGCAAGCACAAGAGTTGGAAGCTCTCTGCCACAAACTAAATCTGCCCAGCCTGCAGCCCCAGCCCAGACCCTTCCTAAATCTAATTCCAGATTAACTTCTGAGCTCTACTACCACACACCTCAATCCCCTTCCTAGTCCTGCCTATCAAGCTTAAACCAAAGACTCAGATCACACAAAACATTCCAGGCTGCAACTTCCACCCTTGCCTGCACACCCCACGTGCTCCCTACCATTCCCAGCAGTCTGTGTTCGCTCTCTCTCCATCTGCCAGCATCCAATAAACCTTCAAGGTCATCTTCTTGCAGAGGCTTTCAATAGCCACAGCTTCAGTCCTCCTCTAACAGTCTGAATGTTTGCATCATGCCCCCCTCCCAAACCACCACCACCAATGGGCCCTATTCTAGGTGAAGGCTTGGGAAGCCAGGTGTGCCTTAGACCTTTCTCTTATCTCTACATCCAAAAGAATAAAATCTCTTCCCTAGACTTGCTCCTCTTCCTTGAGGGTGCCCCAACGCTGTATCTGGGAATTCCATCCACTCAACCCCACATCAGAAAACAGAAAGCCTTCCTTTACTCCCATGGCTAATCACAGTCTTCTCAACATTACGACCTAAATTTATTCCATCTGTTCCTTCACAACCACTTCACAGCTCACACCTTCATCACTTACCCAGAAAAAAGTAATGACCTCCCCAGATCATCTCCCTGCATCCAGTCACACGCACACTCCTGACCACTGCTTACAATCGTGTTTCCAAAATTCAGCCACTGAAGTGTGATCTTCGTTTGTGCTCTATCTGCATTCCACCCCTACTATTATTCTCCACTTTGCAATAGCATCCATGAAATGACAGGTTTGATATACTAGTTAGTACCTAATACCTGTCTGCTTTTATGCCCTGCCTTCCCCCCTGTTGCTACAGGTGAACTGTCAGTGATCCTGGACAAGCACAGCCTTTCCACTTGGGACTGGATCTCATCCCCTTGCCTACACAGGCCATCTCCAGTAACCTTCCCATCTCTCCTGCATCATCGATTTTTCTCCCTCTACTAGATCATTCCCATTGCAAACTACATCTTTTATTTCCTTTAGTTTAAATTAAGTCTCTTGACCTCACTTTCCTCTCCAAATATCACACTGTTTCCTTCCTTACCTATTAAGTGAAACTCCGCCAGAGTATAGGCTCACTATCTTCAATTTCTCTCTTCCCTTTCTCCAGCGAGGCTTTAGTCCACTGTTCCCCACAAAACTGTTTTTATCTAAGGCAGTGATGGCGAACCTATGACACGCGTGTCAGAGGTGACATGCGAACAAATTTTTTTGGTTGATTTTTCTCTGTTAAATGGCATTTAAATATATAAAATAAATATCAAAAATATAAATCTTTGTTTTACTACGGTTGCAAATAAACAAAAAATTTCTATATGTGACACGGCACCAGAGTTAAGTTAGAGTTTTTCAAAATGCTGACAAGCCGAGCTCAAAAGGTTCGCCATCACTGATCTAAGGCCTCCCCCAGTTTTAGTCCAGAGGTCAATTTGCAACTTGACTTTACTTGACCCATCAGAAGCATTTCATACAGCCGATCCTAAAACTCTTCACTTTGCTTCCAGGAATCACATATTCCTGGTTTTCCTTCTACCTCTCCAGCTTCTTCCAGTCCATTTACTGGTTCATTCTCAGTAATTACTATTCTTAAAAATGTTGGAGCTGC